CTTTACTGGCCCCATTCCCGCCTCTTCGACCTGTTTGTTTCCTCTCCTCTATCCATCTTCTATCCGCCTCCCACTCTCTCCCTATTTATTTCAGAACGCCCTTCCCCTCCCCCTTTTCTGATGAAGGGTCTCAGCCCGAAACGTCAGCCTTTCTGCTCCTATGATGTTGCTTGGCCTGCTGTGTTCATCCAGCCCTGCACCTTGTTGTCTCAGATTCTCCAGCATCTGCAGTTCCTACTATCTCTGATTCAAGATATTAAGGGATATGTGACAAAGGCAGATATACAGAGTAGGCCACTGATCAGCCATGATCTCATTGAATGGTGAAACAGGCTTGAGGGTCTGAATGGTCTACTCCTATACCTGTGATCCTATTTTGACCCAGCGACAGTGAATGAATGACACAGTTCCAAGTAAGGATTATATTTGGCTTGTGGGTAGTAGTGTTCCCATGTTATCTGCTGCCTTTTTGGTGTTGCACTTCGTGGTACCACTGCCTCTGTGTGTCATTAATGGATTGTGTGAATGTTTAAGGTGGTGAATGAGGTGCCCATAACTTTGTTCTGGATAATGACCTGACCACATTTGGCCCATCAAGCCTGTTGTGTCATTCAGCGAGATCATGACTGATCTAGTAATCTTCAACTCCAATTTCCTGCCTTTTTCCCATTACCTTTAATTCCATTACTAATTGAAAGTTTGTCAATCTCAGCCTTGAATATAATTAATAACCAGCTTGACATCTCTCTGCAGTGAAGAATTCCACAGATCACTATCCTCCAAGAGAACAAAATTCTTCTTCATCTCTGTCATAAACCCCTTACTCTAAGATTATGCCCTTTGCTCCTAGAATCATTCGCAAGGAGAAACTATCTCTCTGGATCTACTCTGTCAAACCCCCTAAACATCTAGTATGTTTCAGTAAAATCTCCTCATTTGTCTAAATTCCAATGAGTACAAGTCCAACCTATACAACTTCTCTTCATAAGATTTTTTTTTTTTTTACAATGCCAGCACTTACTGCCTATCCCTAATTGCCCAAAGAGCAGTTAGGAGTGAAACACATTACTGTACGTCTGGAGTCACATTGAGGGGTCAAGTGTAGTCCAGAGCAGGGAAGGATGGCAGATTTCCTTCCCTAAAGGGCATTCGTGAACCAGATGGGTTTCTATGATAATCAACAGTTATCACGCGGTTGCAATTAGGCTAGATTTTTGTAACTATTAAATCCAAATTTCACCATTTAACTTGATGGGATTTGAGCTCACGTCCTCAGACTTTACCTTGGGGGGGTCTGGATTACTAGTCCAGTGATATTTCCACTACACCACCAGCTCTCAAAGCGAACAGTTAAGCAAGATGCTAATAGTTGGAAAGATCTTGTAACAGTCTGTCTCAGAAGTGACAAAGTATTTGACAAACAAATGGGACTAAAAGTAGACATGGATGCAGGCCATCAGGTTGGAGACCTGAGTTTTAAAGGAAGTGGCTGCAGACATAATGGAGACATTGGTTGAAATATTCCAGAACTCACTAGCTTCTGGTAGAGTTCCAGCAGATTGGAAAAACCACTGATGTAACACTCCTGTTCAAGAAAAGAGGGAGACAGAAAGCAGGAAAGTGGAAGCCAGTTAACCTAATACCTATTGCCAGGAAAATGCTAGATTCCACAGTATTGGGAGTGTAAATTAGTATATCTTGAGGATTGGTTAACACAGAGTTGGGATTAATAGGTCTTTTTCAGATTGAAAGATGTAACTAGTACAGCGCCATATAGATTGGCCCTAGAGCCTCAATTATTTACTGTCTGTGTTGTTGACTTGGATAAGGGAGCAGAATGTAATGTATCCAAATTTGCTGGCAATACAAAAATAAGTGGGAGAAAATGTTGTGATGTGGGCATAAGGAATCAGCAAAGGAATATTAATGTGTTGAGAGTGTGGGCAAAAACTTGGCAGGTAGAGCTTAATGTAGGGAAGTCTGAGGTCATGCATTTTGTTAAGAAGAAATGAAAGTTAGACGACATTTAACTAAAGAGACTCCAAAAAAACGTGCAGTGCAGAGGGACCAGGTGTTTTTGTGCATGAACACAAAAAGTTAGCTTGCAGTTGCAGCAAATCAATAAGAAAGCTAATGGAATTTTGACCTTTACTACGGTGGGGTTGGAGTTTAAAATCAGGGAGGTCTTGTTACGCCTGTACAGAGTGTTGTGAGGCCATACCTGGAATACTGCATTCGGTTTTGGTTACCATATTTAAGAAAAGGGGTACTGGCATTGGGGGCAGGTAGATTCACTAGACTAATTCCTGGGGTGAAAGGGTTGACTTATCAAGAATGGTAAAACAGGTTAGGCCTTAATTCATCAGAGTTTAGAAGAATGTGATTCTGAGGGGGAGGGGGAGCTTGACAGAGTAGATGTTGAAAAGATGTTTCCATCTGTGGGGTGGATGTGGGAACACTCATTTAAAACTGATATGCAAACTAATTTCTTTTCCCACAGCGTAGTGAATGTTTAGAATTGTCTACCAGAAAGAGCTGTAGAGGTTAGATCACTGAAAGCATTTCAAGATGAGGTAGATTTTTGAAACATTGGGAAGTTGAGGGCTGTGATGAGTTGATGTTAAGTAGGAGTTGAGGCCTGGGGCTGATCAGCCAGGATCTTACTCCTCCTCCTATTTCTTATGTTCTTGTGTTCTCATTTGTTATCTTTTTGATTACTACACCATGTTCTGATTTTCCTGGAAAAGGACATCCTTTTTCTTACAACACATCATTATAGTACAGTATATGCTTCAATTGGACATTTAAGTCATGATCTTCGCAGAAACATTTAATGAAAAGAAGTGCTGCTCACGAATGCGGATCCCATTGCTAATATTGTAAAAAGAAATTGTGAAGTTAGTTATTCTTTATTCCTTTGCAGCCTTGCAAGAACAGCTCTTAGAATATTGTACCGAGCGTACATTGAGTAAATTTAATGCTGACTACCTGTTCTGATGGTTGGAGAATGAAACAGCTTTCATGTTGGCATTAGATATCAAGCTTCACAATTACAGTTATGCTAAGTAATTTAAATGGCATGACAGCGCACAGATTTCTACATGGTGCAGTTTTTACCAGAGTACCAGAACTGTACAACAACAACATTGTAAATCCTGCTGAAGGAATATAGAATCTGGGAATGAGTGTACAGAGAAACATAGTATTAAGTGTTAGCTGTTGTATGCAGCACTTCACTGATAAAACAAGTAATTCTGCATTAAAATACCGGAGGCCAAGAAAATGCTGGTGTCTTAGTTATAAATTATTCACTGCACCTAGTCACTAAGATAAGCAAAGCTCTCAGCAATGTATCTTTTCTCCAATCTGAAAGGAAAATTCCATGTTGCAGTAATTTTTTTAAAAAATATATTTCAAATATCAGCCTTCTCCGTGGCATCTTTGGCATGATAGTAACTTGCATTTCGGAACAGCAGAATGTCTGGAGGCACTTGACACAGGGGCTGATTGGACATTGAAAAAAGCGGGGAAAAAAATTAGGGGCCATAATAGAAGGCTTTTGAAAATATTAAGATGTAACAAGTTGGACAGATTGTACAAGAAAATTTCCATGCAGGACTATACAAGTCAACCCAGACTCAGAAGAGTTAGATTTCAACTAGGATTCAGAGTTGAAGGATGTTACAGGCATGGATGGAATGAATCATTGAAATATTTATAAATAAGGATAATGATTTTTAAAGTCATTGCTAGGGTATTGGGAAGCCATTGGAAATCAGCAATAGACACTTTGGCAGCTAGTTGGGGTGGGGTGTTGAATGGTTGAACCTGGGGTTGACCAAGGTATGATATGAGGTATTGGGCAGCAATGCAATGTGAAAAGACACTGCAATTAACAATTTTCATGTCTAACTTCAAAAAAAAGGTTTAAACTCAGCTCACGGTCAAGGTTGTGTGCTAATACTTCAACCTGCTTCATCTTATTGACCTAAACAACATTGTAAATGCTGTTGAAGGAATATAGAATCTGGGATTGAGTGTACAGAGAAACATAGTATTCAGTATTAGCTATTCTACACAGCACTTCGCTGATAAAACAAGTAATTTTGCATTATAAATGAAAAGAGAAATTGTGCAAAGTATTCAACAGCTCAGACATCATCAGTTGAAAGATAAACAGTTAACATTTTAGCTCCCTGATCTTTCATTGTAATCTGGTTAGAACAGTAGCATTTTTTTTGGTTTTGTGCAGTTGAATTATTTCACTTATTTGTAGGTATGAAATCTCTTTCTTTGCCTTAGTGTTCTCTAGCTTCCATTGATTGAGCACATAATATGACAACTATGTCTGGGCCTCTGTTATTAGTGTTTCAATCCTATTTGTTGAATACGAGAGATGATCTGGAGGAAAATGGTCCACCTCCTTATCCTAAGTTTTCCTATCTGGAATTTCCTCAACTCATTTCCATTGTCAACATGGTGGGGATCAGAAAGTGGAATAGAGAGAATTGGGCTAGACTCTCAATATCCCATGTTGTAAGATATTAGAACTCCAAGCTCTCTGCTCAGTGGTGTTTGTCATGATGGTTATCTTGGACGATTGCTGCAACAGCATAAAAATAAACCATTATCATAGCCAATGGGAAAATGCACTGACAAGATTTTCTAAGTGTTGCAATATGTTATAAAAGTTTATTAAAGGAAATTCAACTCCTTAACAAAGGCTAAATAAGTAAAATTTATTAAAATAATAACTAGAAACTTCAGAGTCATTAGCTCACGTCATTTCAACTCCAACGTTCCTTCATGTAAATAACTACCCACCAGAGAAGATGAAAACATTTGATTCCAGTAAGCCAAAAAAGAAATTGCCTTTCTACCATTCTCAATCCTGAATAAAATACATTCTGCCGCAGTATTCTGCTCAATGTGTGTGTTTTATTCCAAAATCTGCCTTTTATTAATACAGGCAAAACCATCTTTAAGCAGTTCTTCAGAATAGAGAATGACTTACTTCTACTCCAGTTACTTGCAATTTCTGAAACATTTGACAGTTCTTCTAATTATGTCTTTAACTGTAGTGTTTTTCTTTCTTTAGGTAATTCCGTTTTAACTGTTGCCCGATGGACAGAAGGAATGAGTGCTGATTACGAAGAAATCCCGTTGCCTTCAAATACTCATAAAGCAAAACCTAAAGTTCCAAAAACTGTAAATTTTTAAATGGATCTTTGAAATGAGAATTGCATCGATTAGCTTGTAGGGGAATCCTGCAACTCATCTGAAGAATATTTGTGTTTTGATTTAAAAATTTGAATGTTATGTTGAAATGGGAAGCGTGAAAAAAATCAATTTAATGCCAGCAGGTGGGGCTATTGTGTGCCAAATCCAGGCTTGCTGCAATTTAAAACTGTTCATTGCACCTAATTCTAATAAATGGTTGTATACAATTGAATTGAGATTATATTTAGTTCATATAATTTTGTCTGAAGTTGCAGATAGAAAGTTGAAGAATCGAGCTTTGCTGGAACAACTTACATTTGTAAAGTGCCTTGAATGTAAGAAAATTCGCTTCACAGTGAACAATTGCACAAGAATTGACACCAAGCCAAGGAAGGAGGTATTGAGAACTTTTGCCAGAGGTGAATTTTAGGTAAAGTTTTAATGATGAAGAAAAAAAGCGACGAAAAAATGGGAATTCTGAAGTTCAGGGCTTAGATGTCCAAACATGAGATATAAGGAATGAGGGATGGTTGCAGAGTTGGAGGAATACAAATTTCTTGGACGGCTGTAGGCCTGGAGGAGATTGTATTCTGTTTACAGTTATGTGGTGTTCAGTTGACTGGATGGCTAGTTTGTGATGCAACTGTGTAGGCTCAATTCCTGCACCACCTACCGTTGCAGGACTCTCCTTTTTAACCTCTCCCCTTGCCTGAGGTATGGTGACCTTCAGGTTAAGCCACAACCAGCCATGTCTCTCTCTCCGTCTCTCTCTCTCTGATGAGAGAGCAGCCCTATGATCTGGTAGGACTTTACCTTTTTATGTGGGAAGAAGCAAAGAGATTGGTCCATGTTTAAATTTGGCTTTACTCTCTTCTGCATTATATGTATTTCTTTCTTGCTAAAAAGAGAAGCAGATTCAAATCAATAATTTCCAGAGTAGCCCTGGGAGCGTGCACTAATCATGTGACCCAAACAAGAACGATGACGAATGGCAAGGAAAGAATTCAGGTTTGTAATCATTTTTGTAATATAGATAAACACAGAATATGATTTGTAAAGAGAGGGCTGGCTCATTTAGCTATGCTATACATGCATCTGTTTTATTGACGCTGGCCCAGTCTCTCTCTTAGTCAGGATGCCAGTAGAATCTCCTTGCTTTGAAGTAGAGGCCTGGGATATTTTATTTCCATCCAAAGTGACAGTCAAGCCCCTAGTTTAATACCTCATTTGAAAGCTGGACTCTCCATCGTTCCCTATGTGCTATGCCAGAGTGTCAGCCTTGAATATGGGTTCAGGTCTATGGAGATCTTCATTTGGACCAAAGCTAACACCAACAGCGAGAGGTATAACAGTCAAATAAAAGCTAAGTACTGTGGATGCTGGAGATTTGAGGAAATTCAGTAAGTCTGGCAGCAATGTGGAGAGACTAACAAAGGTAACGTTTTGGGTCCGGTATAACTCTTTGGAACTGATTTAAGAGTGTTCAGCTCTCAGATTAGAATGATAAAGCTGTTTAAACATGAATGGTTACAGAAACAAAGAACACCTATGAAACAGTACCCCAAGCCAGGAAACAACATATTGCCAAGACTAAGGAAGTAATTTGGCTGAATAAAATGAGAGAGATCCACTGAATGATCAAGGCTTTGACTGTTGGTAGCAATCAAAATTGTGATGTTACAACGATGTACCATGTTCATAAGTGACCTGTGAACTTAGAATTTGTACAAGCTCAAATGTAACCTTTTAATTTTCAAGTGTTTCAGTTTAAAAATAGCCAGCAATACAGCGTTATATTTTAAAGTAAAGTGTTCACATTATCACAATTATTACTAAATAATATCAATAAAAGTGTAAATCAATTATCTAAAATGCATTGTGAAAATTACAGTTAAATATGAAGAGGAAGATGAGATCTGTGTCTCATCCTTGCTGGCCAGGGCTGCTTGAAGATTCTCTTTCTGAAATAAAAGGATTGAAACTTATCATCAAACTCAACAGCTGCAAAAGCTTCTGTAGTTGAATAATTGAGATTTCCTCCCAAAATGTGACTCAATAAGCAAAATAAAGTTCTGGGAGCAAGTGAAGGCTGCTTCTTTCCTGTAGCACTACATGTTGTGGCTCTTGTTGGCCTTTTTCAATGCAGCAGTTCCTTATATTTTTGTGTCATCTGACTCACAGTTGTGAGTAGCTTTTGTTTCAAGATATTTCTCTTGTGCTAAACAGATATTCTTCCTCAAAACTGTTATTCCTCCACCAGCATTATCACAATCAAAAGAAAATGGTTGCAGATGTTCCCCTTGATGAAAGTCCATTACTCTGGAATTTCCTGTGATGCTCCTTTCCACCTTCTGTTCCACACTACAAAACTTCTAGTTTTCACACCTTTTGATACTTCAATGTTTAGTTCTAGAATCCTTGAAATATTTAATTATCCTTTTTTAATTGATTCTTAAGATAACACAGTCTGATTGTCTGAGCAGACCTCAATGGGTACAGCTGTCTGCTTTGACTGCAATTGAATCCACAGGAGAATTCACGTGACTCCTAGAAGCCATGTTTAAAATCCCCTATGATTTGATTTTTTTTACAGGTTACAGTTTGTTACAAAATGTATAATATGGTGAATACATGTCAGTAAGAAATCTTCTGGGGTGTACAAATGCAACTTCTATATTCATTTGCTGCAATTGTGCTTTATCATAGTCTCGATTCCCTTTAACTCTTCCTATTTTTTACAATCCAACCTTGCCAATTACCCCATCAACCAATTTTTAATTAGTCTTCTCTCAGTCAACTGGTGGCTGATGTTGTCAACAGCACAATCAAGTGGTACCAACTCACTAAAAACCGGTTCATTGATACTCTGTTCAGGTTTCACTGGGCCCAATCACCCCTGTTCTTCAGCGTAAGGAGAACTAAGACTTCTTGAGCAGATATGTACTGAAGGAGAAAGGTTTATATTCTCTGCTACTAGTTGAGTTGACTGATATAATCAGTGATGTATTTGGAATATTAATTGCTGAAAAAGTTTTAATGGTATGATTCCATATAGAAATATTTACTGAAAATGTAAATCAGCAGATTTGGTGATTGTGAATGAGATTTGCCATCATTACAAAAATAGCAAATAGATTATTCATCCATAAATATACAGTCAAATGCAGACATTCAGAGGTCATTGTCAGTTATTCCCTGCTCACCTTTAGGATTTGCCATTGAAATCCCCTCCGATGCAGACTTTTAGGAATCATCATAGAATCCCTACAGTCTGGCAGCATGCCATTTGGCCCATTGAGTGCAAACCACCCCTCTAAAGAGTTTACCACCCAGACCCACTCCAATACCCTATTCCTGTAACTCTGCGTTTCCTATGGCTAATCAACCCAGCCTGCACATCCCTCGATACTACGGGTAATTTAGCATAGCCAATCCACCCTTTGGATTATGGGAGGAAATCAAAACATCCAGAGAAAACTCACACAGACACAGAGAATGTGCAAACTCCACACAGACAGTCACCCAAGGCTGGGATCAAACCTGGGTGCCTAGTGCTGCAAGGCAGCAATGTTAACCACTGAGCCACCATGCCACTCTTGATTTGAATAAGTTGAACTATTGCTAAATTCCACTTATTAATGCTCTACTCTCACTATAAACTTCACCCCACTCCACCCCCTGAAAAAAAGTTATGTCTGTTGAATAAGTTGTAATTTCATTTTTAATGCATTTTGAGTCGATGATATTGAACAACCTTTCTGGCCTTGAAACACTAAATTTATATTTGTATAATGCAAATTTCTCTTTTGAGAATCCATAGGTGTTTACTTTTCATAAAAATTGAAATTTGTTTATAATATTTCAGCTATATTAATTCCATGTGTATGTCCTAATCCTTATTAAATACTCTATCTATTAATCCTTTTAATCATTTCATAATCAATTTATTCCTGACTTGCAGACTGTGAGAATCCTTCAATAGGATTAGCTGCTTCACCTGCTTAAAGACATCACTGTTACTGATTGTTGGGGTCCCCACTGGTTGGCAGAATAAGATTAATATTGGGAAAGGTGAAATTTGCCATAAGTCACTGGACTTTGTGAACATCTTTCTTCAATGTCTGCAGCAAAACTATTATTTCACTGTTGACCCAAACATTCATACCATTGTTCTTAAATGTCAGTTACTAAAAATCTACGTCATTGTATCTTCTGTACTATAAATATTTTGTTCATGTAATAAAAGCTACTAAAATATTTGACTGCATCAAGATGTTTCAACTGGACCTAATTATATAGATTCAATTACATGAATTGTCTTTTTAGATTGACATTAGTGGGTGTTGAGAGTATTTAAGCATATTATCTTTACAGTCTGATGTGTGTGCTGCTTTTTCCCTCCATTGTATCCATCATTACAGAGTTTCAGCATGAAATAAGTCTAAAATAAACATTTTCTCCTCAAGCCTATGGGATTGTACAGTATGCACAAAGTGTTTATTGATATTCATAACTAAGATTGTTTCATACAACAAGCTGTCACAGAAGGTGATTAGCTTCATATTTGATAGATCTCACCAATGTCCATGCTGTAATTTCTGAATCCCCACACTCTAGAAACTAATTACATTGATCTTAGCCAGTGTATCGTCCAATCATTTCAGTAACATTTGTGTACTGTAGTTACTTTCCAACTGACTGCCAGTGTTAATGCCAGATAACTGAAACCTTTGCCTGTTGGAAACAATTTATTGAATCAATGTTGTTAATTAGTTTCACAATCTTAAAAACTTCAGTTAGGTTATATTAAAATCTATTTTACCAAGGAAGTTGGTCTAGAGTGGTTGTAAAAGCCAATCATGAGATTATATCAAATCCGGCCTGTTTTTCTCATATTTGGTGTTTGATATTCAATAATATTTGCTGCTTGCCTTTTGTATCTTATTTGACTACAGAGGAATTTGCATTCAGTTTGATGTTTCAGTTTTTGGAGGCTAACGCATGCTTTTCAGTTGGTTCTCATTAAGAGCAACGCCCACAAGGACATAAATATTGCTTGTTAGGAAAGAAATTTCCAGTTTGTTTCACTGAAAATGTGGACATGGCGATATATATCCAAGTGAAATGTATGAGACTTGGAGGGAAATGTTTAATTGATAATGTTATCCATATCCTACTGCTTTTGAATTTCTCAGGCTGGTAGAGTTCCTGGGTTGGAGCTGGTGTCAAATT